AAATACAAGCCAAGGTTTAATTGACTGCTTTACTTGTGGATGTCCAGTAATAATATCAAAGCTTTATTGTTTTAATTGATTAAAAGATTTTATAATTATTAAAGTCTAATAAAGAAATCAAAGATAACAGTGACCATGAGGGGTTTTATCATGTATCTAAACTTTTAGATACATACGGTATATTTAAAGAATATATGTATATATAATTTGTGGACTATAAATTTTTTCTTTTGGATTAATATATTGTTTAATATTATTTTGTATATTTTTGATTCGCTTAAACCTTTTGACTAGTATGGATCCCGTGTCTTTTCCAACTTTTAGTAAAACTGCAGACATTAGGGTAAGTAGAGCATCCTTTGCTATTTACAATTTGGTTTTATTTTTGAATTATTAATTTTTGTGGCTACATACAATTGTGTATGCTAGCGTGACTTTGTTCCGGATTTTAAGCAGCAAATGTTCACAAGTTGACATGTGTGTAAGAATTAACCTTACAATGAACTAGCATTTTTTTTACCATAAATTTATATATTTAAATTATAAAATTATGGTATGAATAAGTTTTTAAAATTACGGTGTATGAAATTGCTAGCTATTTTAATATGTTCAACTTGTATGGTTAATTTTGGTATGTAATATTTAATTATTGCAAGTTTAATCTTATGAGTAAATATTTAAATTATGGTGCGATTAAATATTTAAAATTATTGAAAAAAGTTGTACAAAAACATGAGATAGCGTTTATGGAAATTTATAAACATGTTTTTGGTTAGTGATAAATTTCATTTATGACATATTATTTATTTTAAGGGTAAATTAATTGACACAATATATCGCCAAAGTGATCTCTTTTGTGAAAATTAATTTACAAAGAACTTAAATTTTATGGTTTGTGTTTATTAATACGGATATTAATCAACCCAAAGGTAGGTTAATATTTGGCCGGATAAACACATGTTTGATGATAAATATGTGAAAAATTTTAGGTTACATGTCATTAATTAGTCAATCCAAAGAGGGGCTTGTTAATTGACATGATATATTGTCAATTCTTATTATCAAAATTTATAATTTATGTGTTTATTAATGTGGGTATTAGCCGACCCAAAGGTAGACTGATATTTGGCCGAATAAACATATATGTGGTGATAAACATGTGACGATTTTTTTGGTTCCATGTGATTAATAAGTCAATCTAAAGTGGGGTTTGTTAATTGACATGCTTTATTGTCAATATTTATCTCTAAAATAAGATTATCTCTTGCAAGTTAGTATTACTGTCCAAATACTTGATATTAATGTTGTGTTGATACCTTATAAAGATATCATAAATTGAATTTACTGATTACGGTTTATGGATTAATAAGAATAAAAATAGATTTACTCATATTTGAATTATGGTATTATATCTGCTAACATTGATCACATTTATGATTCATGTAATCAATGAGATTAACTTTAAGGAACGGATTGAGGGTATTATGTTAGTTCTCAATTGCATGGATATTAACCTTGCATTTTGGATAGAGCAACATTCTTTGAGGATGTTGAGTTTGGGGGAGAAACAAGGTTAAAACATTATCTTTAAGGAGGAATTAATCTTGATTCCTATTATTGCTTTCGATAGTATGTAAATTATGGAAAAGTGATCGACAATGTTATTCGATCTCCTATTCAGAATACACAAACTCAACAACCTCAACTTTGGATATCCTATTTGTGGTACCCCATTTTTCATCAATTTTTTTTTTATCTCTTTTGGTTTTGAGGTAAATACAATAGATGATTTTGTGTATCTCAGATTAAGTGGGAGTAAATTTATCTTTTTGGTTTTGGGTAGATATCTATACAACTCAAGTTTGGATCATAAGAAAGCAACCAAATGGATTTGAGATATCTACATATAACAAAAGTCTATATGCACAACTATAGGAAATTTAGATGTTTCGGAGATCATTTTTATTAAGAATTTGATTTTATTTGGTGCCAAAATGGTTACCAGATCCATATCAGAATACTTTTACATTTTAGCACGATAAACCATTTAATGGAATAGACTTTGGTAGCTTCTTCCATAATGACAACATAATTTGTAGCATGGAATATGGTTGCGGAAATTTGTCACACGGCTACACATTATTGGTATTGAAAGACCACTAAAGTTGTGCTAATAAGTCAGCAATGTTATATTCCAACAACAAAAGTTCTATTAAGTTAAAGCATATTGACATCAAGTTTCCTTCTGTTAACATAATAGTGCAAAATGGAAATATATATAGCACATATGAACAAACTCCATGAAAGCGGATCCGCTCATAAAGGGATTACCTTCCTAGGTCTTTCATGAGCATACTACATACGTTGGTGTGATATTTGGTTTTAGTGGGAGTTTTATGGTGCTTTATGTTTTGTTTAAGATTAATTATGTTTTTCTGTACAGAATTAAAAATTCAGTTAACTCCATTATTAGTTACACTTATTTGAAGTTTGATCTCACTTCAATCTAAAGAGGAACTCGTTGGAAATCTATTTAGATTTTAAAACACATCATGTTTAATCTATGTCGTTAGTTATATATGTATATGTGACCATTGATAGGTTTAGTTACGTAAATTGTAACGAAGGCCGCTTTGATCATATACTATTATGATTAGTGGACGAGATTGTTTAAGGGTACCAATGTTATAATAACATTCATTAAAGCGCTTATACAACTATACGTACATTTATATATTCGTGGTCCAGTGGGAGATTGTTGGATAATTATGGGACCACTTCATAAATATGTACGATATATTATTAAATCCAATTATTATGGTAAAAATATAAATTGTTGATGGATCGATTTATAGAATATTAATTTACCTTGTGGGTTGAGTTCCCGGTTTGACTCAAGATCTCCTAAATCCCTAATATCTCTCACATTCGGTTATATCTCCATCTATATAAATACGTGATGAGAAGCAGATTTAATATATACGGAAATACATACAAGAAAATCGTGTTAGGGTTTGCTGTGGGATTTAGAGAGGGTTCTTGAGATCAACTGGAAAACCCAATCCTAGTTCTTCAGATCCGAAGATCATAATGAATCAGGTATGTAATCGTTCTTTAATTTTCAAGTTTTCTTTTAATCAGATTCGAGATTAAAGATCCAATGTTTATGCTTCCGCGTTTTATGTTTTGGTTATCAAAATAGCCAACATGTTACGTATGGAGGGAAAAACAAAACTGAATCCCATAAATGGTTGCGCTAATCAAAAGAGGGGTTCCAGTTAAAGCCATTACTTGTGATGTGTGCCAAGTAAATGATGAAACAGCGGATCACTTGCTTATAGAGTACCCGTTTGCGAAAGAAGTGTGGTCAACGGTGGAACAATGGTGTTGTATATCGAATTCCATCCTGGAGTGTACTAGAGTCCAGGAGGTGCTTGCGAAGGACAGAAGATGGGGAAACTACCCGAAGGAAAAGAAAGTTGCCGAAGCTATAAAATATTGGACAATTTGGTGCCTCTGGAACACAAGAAACGAAAGAATTTTCAAAAACATTAGAAGTCAACCGGCGAAGATAGTGGATAATATTAAATCAGTATTATTCACTTGGATAAAACATAGAATCTAAAAAGGTGTATTGGATTGGAGTTCATGGTGTAACAATCCGCTAAAATACGGATAAAAGTACCTAGGCGTTATCTTGTTAAAACTAATTATTTTATACTATTTCGCTTCTCTAGCATATTACTAGTGCAGTTTTTATAATATATTTGTTGGTTTAAAAAAAAATTATTTGTTGATTTGTGAAACGGATGCTTGGCCCTTTTATTAATAAACTTTCCACGGTTCTAAAAAATATGAAACCCAAAGTGATGGTGTTGCAACTGCACTTTTATCATTAACTACTTAACTAATGGTTGATGCAACTAAAACTTACAAAATTGTTCGATCTGTTTTTTTAATATGGAAGTATCAACATAGGTTATGTGATCAAGCGCGTAAATTCACTGTCACAACGCTGCGAGTGGAATGAAAATGTAGTTTGTTTAACTCCAGTATTCTAGTTGCAACAGCAAAAGGGGTAGGCTAGTCAAAAAAAAGTTATTGCCACGTGTGTTATAAAGCACAATAGGTATCTTACACGTTGCCATTTTCATTTATTCTCGGGACTCCCGAAAATGCCCCTCCAACTTGAACGCCACACATGTGGCGTTACGTAGCATAGCTGTCTTTTGGTTTTGGGCTTTCGTTTACTTTTTCTTTTATATGGAAGACAAAATTAGTCAAATAATAATATTCTTTTCAATATAAATACGGGATAATCAAACAACCTTTTCTATTTGGTATAAAAAATATATTCATTTTTCGAAAAAGCAAATACAGACAATCTAAGTTCAAAAAAAAAAAAAAAAGTTGATAAAGATGGAATAAAACAAAAAAATCTTTTGCAATTTCACCATATATTTAACTGTAGAAAGCTTATTAATCCGGCTTATATTTGAAAACTACGCTTTCGAACATGAAGAACATAGTATTTGAAACTCAACATTTTAGTCTAGCATTTATTTGGTGGATAAACATTATCTTCTTCATATAAATATAAGTTTCAAAAATGTTTGCATATCCAAACACGTAGTTTTAGCATATGTGTTAATCAAGTCTATCTAATGATATAGTTAGTTTGAAATAATATCCAATTTTTATCATATTTTTGTACTAAATAAAAAGATGTAACTTGCTTATGTAAATATAAATTCAAGGGTTATAAATGAAAATGTAAGTAAAATTTATAGAACTGGTGGAGCCAAATGGTGAGTTATGAAAAAGGCCTTGGACATGGACATGATCCACACCACATGAACTCTCACTATGCCTCATGATCCATGCCACAGCCTTAAAATCATGGACCTTTTATAAATGCTTTAAATATTTCTTTAATTAAAAGAAAATACCATAGTAGATTCTCTTAAAGAGTTTCACCATATAAAATGATATCATTATTGATATGCTCGATGGTAAACACGTAAACAATTTGTACAAATTTGACTTGTAACTTGACTACAATAACGTTGTGCCTCAACTACTCCACCTTCGGTAAATCTAAGTTGGTTGCTCGTTTTGTGATGACGTTTTATCAGTTGGCGACTACTTTTGCTAAGTTGGCCATGTATGTGATGTAAATCGTCCATACATACGAGAACAAGTTGCTCACGAGTGGCTACATTGTTCAAAACCAACATCAAAACTCAATATATATTTCTAATAATTTCTAAAAATAAAAAAATAATAATGTAATACTGGTATTACCTGTAAAGGAACGGGGACAAATCTGAAGATGATAAACTCACACATCGGCCAATAAATAACATTATTGATCATTGTTGGCAACATGTCTCGTTTCAAACGAGCAACAATTTCTTTACACTTTTCACCTGAGAGATTTAATAGATTTCAACATTAGTTTTCAATTACACAATATAAATTCAAGATTTAGACATCAGTTTTGGAGTATATATATATACCTTCTTCATAAGGACTAAAAAATGAGAGAAAATCAATAACTCAACGTATCATTGCAAGGCTACTAGTATATAAGGGAACAATGTATAGTATGGATAACATGAAGGGTAATATATACCTTGTAGGGCTGCATTGATTGAGAAGAATACAACCATCATAATAGGTCCATATATTGTTTGTCCCATGAATATCTTTTTCAACGTTGTAAAAACGTCTTTCTTAGGGAACACTCTTGACAAGAAGTTGAACCATAAATGTAGCGTGGGACCTAAAATGATCAATCCATATCCAGCCATACGACAAGTACGAATGACATCATAAGGCTCTAATGATAGCCTTGTCATTGTCTGAAGATGGAGATGGTGTTACAATTTGGTGGAAACTAGATATTAGTTTTCAATCAAAGAATATCGTGGATGAATATAAATATACGAAAAGATAAATTCGACTTGAAACGATGAAATAAACATGTGGCGTCATAAGTATAAGCTGTATTATTCATGTGGCGTTCATTTTCATATGATCTTATTATAATAAAAATATCGAAAAAGAGTAGTTGAGGTTGTGAAACCCCTATTTGTACCCAAAAGTTTCCAAGGACTATTTCTTGTGGTTAAATGAATAAAAGGAATCTAGAAATTTCTGAAAATGAACATTTGATTGAATGTTAACGATGAAAAAACTGATGACAAAAAACTAAATATGACTGATTTGATTTTTCGTGAAGGTATAAAGAATGAATTCCGAATCCATTATCTTTATTAAAAAATAAATATGATTAAACTATATATTTGTAACGATTGCCACCCTTCAATTTCAACCAATAGCAAAATTACTTATGTTCTTATCTATATATGTGCTTTTGTAATTTATTTCATATATTGATTTATAAAACAAAAAATAAACTATAGAAAATCAATAAAGGGTGTTTCTGTCATTCCTCGTAATTGATATTCTTAGGTTCTATTCCGTTTTTTGTCATAAGTAAAAGTTTAGTTATAATTGCTATTAAAAGAGGAAAACAAACCTGAGATGTTAAATCAGCAGCAGTGTAAACTAAGGAAAGCTGTGATGCTTTTAGTAAGAATAGGCCTTGTTTTAATCATCCCCAAATACCATCGAACAACTCCATTATTCGTGATCGAAGCTAATAGTGTTGTACTATAGGTTTTAGCACTAAAGCTATGAAATGGAACATGAAACTCCATCTCTTTCGTTCTTCTTCCATTAAATCGGCTATAAAAAGCCTTGGAGACTTGTAGTTCTTGTTGGACATGGATTTTATGTATTGGAACACCGACTGAACCTGAATTGGAATGCCTCCGACATATGGTGTTCATGTGGTGGTGAATTTTGTAGCCATTTCTAAAGGCATTTGAGATCATCATTTTGTAAGAGAAATGTGTATATGTGAATGAGGTTTTTGGTGGAGTGAAGGGAAGAATATGGCTTTTTATGGCTTATGGGAGAGGGAGAGGATGCATGTGTTACTCGATTGGATTTGATTTTTGTGTCTCTTGAGTATAATAATTAGCGAATAAGTCGTTTAATAATTATTATTTGAACTTTGTGGTACAAAAGTTACTTTTTCATGTACAAGTCAATCCTTTTAGGAGATTCTTAATTATCTGATTTTTAATGTGTTGATGGATTCAAAGTTTGCACACATAATCCACATGGTTCATAGTAAATGTATTGTCATATGAAATTAAGACATTGAAAATTTGAAACATTAATCAATTCGGCCTTTAAGATGGTTAGTAAATTTTATATCACCTAAATGTAGTAATATAATTTTCGTTTAATAATTATTTAAATAATGCTTAAATGAGTATAGTTTTGTCATAAAGTTAAAGACAAAAATATCATAATCTAAAAATCCGAAAAAAAAAATGCTACTTTCCCATTTTATCCATATTTGATGATATATATAGTGATTATTATTTAATAACAAAATAAAATTGTCTACATATAATAGCCACCAATTTGTATATTTTTTGCTCTTGGATAACACATGTTCCTTTTTAAATATTTAAGCCAAGAAAATCTATGAAACTTATTATTTAAGGAAAGGTTGATGATTTTAACCAATTATTGGTTATATTATATCGACATGAAGTGTTGACTTGTTATAACGTAAACTAATGGTGGTCCAACATCACGTCTATTCGTTAGTGGTTGCCGTTTAATGAAAACAACCTTACAAATTTTCAACTTTTGTTTATATATGAAGCAATAACATAAATTCTTGTATTTCAAACTTGACTAGCAAACAAACAAATAATCTAGCAATTAATATTGTGAACTAATATTGAGTCATTAGCAATATCAAAGGCAAACAAAACTGCTAATTAATATTAAAAATTAAATGTCAAATCGTCGCAAATAATAAATCATTAGTAATATCAACGTAAAGTTTTTATGTGTTTATTATTGCAATACCAAGTTTCATTCAAATCAGATTGATTTTTCGTGATCAAGCTTGACTATAAGAAGATCGAATTGTCCTAGATGAAAAAAAAAAACCTTTAAGATCATAGATTTATTACTGCTAAAAACAATATGAAATAATTTGTCTTTAAAAATTTTCTATGTCGCTATACAATTCTGGTTGAACTACGATTTTGGGTTTAAGTATATTTAGGCTAGAGTTAGTGGGTCTGCTGCACTTGAGTGTCACATCAGCAGGAACACTGCTCTCTGGGTGCGGTAGGAGGTGCATCGTGGCATTCCAATGGAGCACTCATTCAAATTATGGAATTGATCCATTTTTTTACCTCCAGGTGATTGGTCCTTTTTATTTATTAAAACAAAAATAAAAAATAAAAAAATTATTCAAGTGTAACACCACTCATTGGTTGTGGTATTAAACCACATTTTTATGGTAAAGAGTAAGGTGACGTCTACGTAGCAAGTGAAGGGAATATAACTTATATGACACCAATCCCTCATCTTAGAGTATATAGCTTGGCCCATCCTTAACCTCCATTAATGGCTTTTAAGGCTAAAGATGTAAAACCTTATAAACTCTATATATTTTAGTTCTTCCAAGCATCAATACCGGACAAAGAAAAAAAAAACTGACCAACTTGCTATTTCTTTTATAACGTCTAACAAAATTGTGTGATCAAGTCGCATGAATGGGTTGTGATGATGCTTCGAGTAAACAGAAAACGTAGTTTGTTTGACTAAAGCATTATTGTTGCAACAGCAAATTAATAACTCGGCCACTTAAAAACAATATTGCCACGTGTGCGATTAAACACAGTTGATTTCTTATACGATGTCATTTTAGTTTCAGTTACGTACTTCCGAATATGCCCCTGCAATTGGAATGCCATATACTTGTGGTTTTAGACCATCTCCAATGCATTGAACTCATATGACTTCAATGGATTGACACATATACATTCCACTTACTATACAACTTTACCCATTAAACTCTACACTCCATTAAACTCTATACAATTACACTCCATTAAACTCTATACAATTTAATGGATTGTCACATCATTTATCATTTTCTTTTTATTTATTGTTATTTTTAAAAAAAATTAATTAGCATGAAATTTAAAATTAAAAACTACAATTAAAATTAACATTAATTTAAAATAAAAAATAATATATATATATATATATATATATATATATGTGTGTGTGTGTGTGAGAGAGAGAGAGAGAGGAGAGAGAATATAGAATTCAATGGGGATTGAACTCCCCATTCCATTGAATCCTAGTCATTTTCCTACAATGGGGATTTTGAGTTTAATGAGATTAAACTCCCCATTAAACCCTCCATTGAACTCCCATTGGAGATGGCCTTACGCAGAATACTTGTCTTTGTTTATTATTAAGGAACAGGAATCCTTGATGAGAATCACGGATTTTTTTATGTTATAAATTTATAGGCTTTATATAGATGTAGTTCCGATCCCTACTTAATAAAAAAAAATAGCTAATATGCTATGTGTCACTCGTTTAAAACTTCTACTTAACTACTTGCCACTTGTCGCTCACGATTAACCCCTTTTAAAAACAAAAAAAAAAAAACAAAAAAACACTTCGCAAGTTTAAATTGAAACACCTAATTAATCGATAAATGTAATTTTAACCAATTATATATAAAAACAATGCCAGCTGTATGTTCACTTAAAAAATTACGCAATCCCTTCAATTTTGAGCATTTTCAATCCACCTCTATTCTTTATTTTTTTCTTCATATCTTCTTTCATTTTTCTTCAACCATCTCCTATTTATTCCTCCATTTTGGAGGATATGAATAATATTATACCAAATATGGTGTTATACTATTCATTTCTCCCAAAATTAGGATGAACTTTGTGTTGTCGGTTTTAGTATCTCTGATTATATATTTATATATTTTGGGGGATATGAATAATATTATACCAAATATGGTGTTATATATTTATAATTTAAATATAATATTTAATACTTATAATATTTTGTTATATATTAAATTATGTTAATTAATTATAAATATAAAGTTTGTTTTTTGTTCATCAAATTATATCAAAATTTAAATACATATTGAAATTTTAAAAAACGATAACGTATTTTACAAAAACTTATAATTAAAAATGTGTATATCTAATATTTATATGAATAGATGTATAATATTTATTTAAAAGTATGTATTTTTAATATATTTTTATAAATACATGTATAATATTTATTTATAAGCTTATTATAAATATAATCTTTTGTATTTAATATTTATGTAATGAAAAAAAATATAGATTATATATTTATTAAAACGAAATTAGTAGAGATGTGTGTTTGACAATCTATATAAGTTGGAATATACTAGAAATATATTTTTTAGGGGTAAAAATGAAGTAAAAAATAGAGTAGGGTTGGAGATAAAATACTATTTGCGCCATTTTTTACTCCATTTTTAAGGGGAAAAAATGGAGATGGGTTGGAGATGGTCTTAGTAAATCCTTGCATATTTGCTATTCATTTTGTTAACATAGTGTAATTGTAACATTCGCTCGATATATACATAAAAGGGTCAAACATATATACAAATTCTTCTGAAACAAAACAATATAAACAACTATACAATATTCAATATACACATCAATTTCAAACAAAAAAAAACTTTTACCTCATCGGCAATAAAAATATTCACGATTTTTAAAAAAGTCAAAGAGCCGCTGTAGGAAATGCGGCATACCACATGAGAGAGTTTGTAGATTGGGATCATTGGCCTGCTACAAGTGTGGAAAGACTGGACACTTTAACAAGGATTGTACTGCCCCTACCCCCACATTCCAGACATTAGACTTGATTTGCTTCCATTGCAATTAGAAAGGCCATAAAAATGTCGATTGCCCGAGACTAGCACCAACAGCGTCAGTGGCGGTGCCAGCTCCCTCGACCCTGCGGATCATAGATGGCCGATAGGTAAGACAAAGGCTTCAGAGGTAAGGAGTCGAGCCTTCCAGCTGACCGTCGAAGAGGGGTGTGCCGCACCGGATGTGGTGATGGGTATGATTTCTTCTCCCTAACTTTTATTACATGTCAAGTTATGACCTTTATGTGTATGTTTTATGTGTTGTTTAGGATCGTTCTATGTGAACGATATCCCAGTTCATGTGTTATTCGATTCGAGGGCTACCCGATCATTTGTCTCTTTTGCACTTAGCAAGAGGTTTCCTAAGTCTTCAGACATATTGGATCGCCCTCTAGAGGTTGAGATTGCTAACGACCGATCAATACGAGCACCAGAGGTTTTCATAGATTGTGTTTTGAGGATGTATGAGGAGAACTACCTAGTGGACTTGGTTCCCATTCCATTACGTGGGAACAAGGTTATCATAGGCATGGACTGGTTGAGTCCTAATGGGGCAGTGATCGACTTTGCGCAATAGTTGGTACATGTCAGGACCCCAAGTGGGGAAGATCTGGTGATTCAGGGTAATAAACTGCAGCGTGGACCGACTATGTGTTCAGCAACAAGGGCTAGACGCTACCTACAACTGGGTTGCGCAGGGTATGTCGCCTACGTTATGGATACCCGGGAGGCGGGTAAGGCGACTGTAAGTGATGTATCAGTGGTGCGAGAGTACTCGGATGTATTTCCAGAGGAGCTGTTTGGGATACCTTTGGAAAGACAGGTGGAGTTCCGAATCGACCTAGTCCCTGGTGTGGCTCTGATAGCCAAGGCACCATATCGGTTGGCTCCTCCTGAGATGCAGGGACTGTCTACACAGCTGCAGGAGCTGTTAGACAAGGGATTCATTAAACTGAGTAGTTCACCCTGGGGAGCCCCGATTCTGTTTGTAAAGAAAAAGGACGGGTCGTATCGGATGTGTATAGATTACCAGGAGTTGAACAAGGTGACGGTGAAGAACTGTTGCCCACT